GAGGTTAATTGTCTATGACAAATGAAAAGCTTAACCATTATTGATTTACTTTAGAATAATGAAAGTAAATCAATAGTATGAATGTGATCGTTATGTATATATGTATAACATTAGGAAACTCTACAAGATATCAATATGATCTGTTCAAAAAACTTTATTCATTCTTCAAAATTCTGGATATATCAGTCTTATTGTTAATTGTGGCAAAAAGCTTGTCCATATAATGTATAAATTGAGAAACCAGTTTCGTATATCTTAACATGAAACAAGGTGACGAAGGTTGATGCACTTTTATAGGAAGTTCTGTTGTCAATCACTCAGTCATGAGTAACGTAGAATCGAATACATACGTTCATTAGTTCAAGTTATTACAGAGCATTAACAGTGTGTCATTAAATAACTCGTCAGTTATATTTGTATCAATGTATGCTTATTATTAAAAGTATCTGTTGTGGTCTAACTGTTTATAAGATATTTAAAAGCTCGAAACATCAGAAGCAAAACATCAAAAGATAAATTAATATGGAAGCAAATAATGGTAAATATTACAAAACATATAAAATAACCATACATTTCGTTATCATTACAATTTGTAAGGTTTCCATATATTTTCCCAGCTACGTCAGTCAGCTCTTGAGTGGTGTGAGAGATATAGGGGTGGTTAGCACTTCCCGGTTGCCCATACCATGAGAGGGTTGTCCTAGAGGTACCTGAAGAAAAAATGGGTTAGAGTTGGTCTAAATGACCTGAGAGTGTGACCGCCGTGCCCAAGGGACAACTGCTTCAGGCCAGTCACACACGACCTTTTCGTATTATTTATTATTATTATTTGAACACATAGATACTGGTACAAGGAGGCACCAAATACATATGCGCCACACAAATTTCATTTGATTTGTGTGAGGGCTGTGATACTGTTCGGGTGCCCAAACCGAAGCAGGTACAACCTTTTTGTGAGTAATATTAGTGTTAGCTCCGTGCTCGTTGAAACCTTCCCGCCGGAGACGGAAATCCATGGGATAAGGCGAGGTGTGAATTTTTAAGGCCGCCCTTTCCTAACCCCGCCCTTCCTTTGTGAGAAGGCAGCATCCCTATTATTCTGGTTGTCTGGAGGAAACACCTTACTGTCGTCACACCTCTGTACAGGTAACAGTACGACTTCGCACTCGACCTTGAGCTTGCTGCTTTTAGTCTTACGGTTCTTCAACTGACCTGTCTGGTATGGTAGGACCTTGAGGAACGATTGTTCCAGCCAGTATAGCTCGATAAGTTCATTACGATAGGCGAGTCCGGCCACCACATTAAAGCAGCAGCAAGTGTTGGGCAATCAATCATTTTTAGCATATATATCATATCAAATATATCTTCATATTTATACGTCTCCTGCCTCTTTCTCACATCATGTTTCACATGCGACTCAAACATATATTATAACTCTCCCACCGATTCATATTCACATGTGCTCGCGTCTGCATAATTTCTCTTATACTCCAATTACCATGATATCAGTAGCATACACGACACCACATACAACTCTACACAAACGTTACAATTATGAGGCATCCTTTGAAAATGTTTCAAATCAATAAAATCTAGTTAAATACAACTTTGGAAAAATAAATAACTACAAATAATAAGTATTATCTATTAGACAAGTGAACAGTTATAATGATTCAGTTACTTAATAAGTAACACACTATAGTGAAGCACGAAATATCTTTGAAAGTACTAAAATCTCAGCATATATATATTAGTGATGAGAGATAGGGATAGTTAACTGAAGAGTTACACACATAAAGAAATATGTTTACTGTAATCTACTACATTCTACTACTAGTCACTATCTAAGAATTTGATCAGTTATTTTTCATATAAATTATTTTACAGACATTAAAATTTTATGTTCTTCAAAATTACGAATGTATTCAGATAATAGAATAACGAATATGAAAGAACGAAATTAGTGTGAGAATATATACAGGTGATAGACATGTAGAAAAACATATGTAAAACTTAGTATATCGACTTAAGATATTATCTCTTACAGACTTCATACCAAATAAAGAGAAAACAAAAACAGTAAGAGTACTGATATTCATGATAACCATGGAATTAAGAAGTTAGAATCTCTAATACATAAATTGAACAATATAGGGTTGTAGACATTATTAAATTTTTGATTGAGATTATGAATCAATTGATGTTAGACAACAATTCAAAATCTGGAAACACTGGACGGCCATTTCGTCTTATTGTGGGACTCCTCAGCAGTGCATATCCAGGATCGCACCTCGCGGGATTCGAACCCAGAACCTATCTGTCTCACATGCGAACGCTTAACCACTAAACCACTGAGCTACCCAGCATCCAACGGTGTTAATGTTTAACTTCAATTTTTTTAGTTAATTTCTTTAAATACTGGTCCTATCTAAATGACAACTATTATCCATAATAAAAATTCAAATCATTAAGAATAACAAGGTTACTTCAATTAGACAAGACAATATATGAAAATAAAAATTGATTACTATTTCATCGATTTATCACAATGTATATATGTGTTTCTATGTGTACATCAATACTGAACTAATCAACGGTGTAGGAGAGAGTAGAAGTATATTTTGTATATAATTTATGTGAAGAAGAAAAAAACAATAGTGCACATGTATGTGTAGAAATGATGTATGCAGTGACAGATAATAAGATAAATCTATTTATCCTGAATAGTAAATTTATATACATTTTGTCATTTGTCATTTAAAACAAATCAGATAATTCTTAATATTAGTTAATTTCAATTAATGTATTTGTCTAAATGACAGTAGTATTTTTGAATAACTCTTAATTAATTGCTATGTCAATCTTCCAAAGAATAAAACTACATAATTAACCAATAAAAGATCTATGCATGCAATGTCGAGTCACCTAGACTAGTGGCCACATTGCAACTTGATCAATAGCATTCGATCTGCACTAAGAACGACCTGACACAAATGACATTGATCATCACCCAGTGATCAATCAATTGTGATTACATCACAATCCTACAGGTCAGTCGCGGCCCGGATAGTCCATTGGTAACATATTTGACTGTGAAGCTGGGTGACACTGGATCGAATCCGTCAAGAAGTACCAGTTACTTCAAGATTACAGGTACACCTTGCTGACGAGTGCCGATTAGCACGAAACCCAGGTCCACGATTTCCTGTTAACTACTTCTAACCACCATCTTATCTCAACACAATGCACGCAATGTCGAGTCACCTAGATTAGTGGCCACATTGCAACTTGGTCAATAGCATTCGATCTGCACTAAGAACGACCTAACACACATGACATCACATGTATGTGTAGAAATGATTTACGCAGCGACATAATAAAATACATATATATTTATTATGAATAGTAAATTCATATACATTTTGTCATTTGTCATTTAGAACAAATCAGATAATTCTTAATATTAGTTAATTTCAATTAATGTATTTGTCTAAATGACAATAACTTAATTAATTGGTATGTCAATCTTCTACAAAAAAAAAGAGAATATAGTTAACCAATAAAAGACCCATGTTTATTTCAAAAACAAAATATGAATGATTGTGGAGATTTGTAGCTTAAGTGGATAATTTTGATGGAGTTTTGTTCTCTGAGCTGAATGGCTTAGTCTGGGCGTTTTTATCGTTCTTCTGAACGACATCATCAGCACAAACTTTAGGAAGATGATTGTATTATACAATCACAGTTAAATATTACATTATGTATATCATACTTTCCAGGTAATGAATTATATGTGCTTAACATAAGATTATATAATTAACATGTGATTATACCATAATTATATTTTAATAGTGAGGATTGAAGATCTTTGTTACTTGTTTATTGTTGATGGGATCATAGACAAATGGAGAGTAATCGGAGGTAAGTTGTTACAATAATCAGCTTTCAAAATACTGGGTGTGTGGTACGAAGTATAGATTAAGCGGCTCATATACGAATAAGCATGAAATTATTTGTCCAACTACGTCCAGATTTTTGTAGTAAGCAATAGTAAGGCAATATCGAGGCATACTCACAGTATGCACATATGCCAATAAAAGACTGATCAATTGCAGTCTTAAACCTCAATGGGAAAATTCAAATAAAACAATATCAAGTGAATACAGGTTTACTGTTGATTCCCTTTAATTTGGACCTTATAAGTGTTTATGGAAAGGAATATTCAGCAAGACTATAATTTATGGACGAACCCATCCGATTTACGAAAACAGATCTTAGATTTAAAGAGAAAAAATGTATTTGTAAAATCTCAGCGAATGAATTTTAAGTGAATCCAAAGTTTCGCCTGGCAATCTGGTCCAAGCTTTTTCAAGGAAAATTATAATCAAACAATAAAATTATCGAATATAAATAGGTACATGGTTCTCTGGTTTACTGTATACTGAATAAAACATTCAATCAACGTGCACCCTGTTTGAAGTGGGTATTTACAAAATGTGTAAGAGACTTGTGTTATGAAAAAAGAAAAGTGTTAAGATAACAGATTGTGTGTTTACGTAAGTGATACATTCATCCATTTGATTGAACAAAGTTTTAACAATATAACTGATGTCAGTTCGTGATGAAAAATCGTAAATCTAATTCCTAACCTTAAACATCAACTGTAAATCATAATGCTTATTCTTCAAACTACTTTACCACCATCATTTAGACCTAGTAAGTAGGTAGACACTCTCAAGGTAATTTTAGCGTCACTCAAAGGTTGCCCATAAATTATAGTCCCACGGAATATATATGATGGGACACAAAACAGACCATTCAGCCACCAAACATCAACGTTGAAAATAATATGGTTCTCATTTTTAAAAAGTTCCCATCTAAATAGACAAATTACGCTATGAAAATATCATTCCTAGTCAATATAAACATTTGTTCTCATCAAATGTATATAAATTTATTACATTAATATTACTTCATTAATTAACAAACCAAATACTTACCGAATATAATAAACTGTTTTTTAATATTTCCCATGTATTATTAGATAATAGACAGTTTACATTTCAATCTGTCCACAAGTTTTCAGTAATATATATGTATATATATGACAGTTAATGTATAATAGATTAAAATCCACTACGAATTCAGTCTTCTTTTATAAGAAGAAATTATGTTAATTACCAACTATTCTGATAAAAAGCTAATCTGTCAAATCCACAGAAATTTCCTCATTACACGTAATCATGCTTTTCTGTTTCTTTAAATCCAAGTGATGCTAACTAATTCCATGGTATCTTTAATTTGATTGGTCAAAAATATCATTGGTTGATAATTAAGCTAATATGATTGGTTGATAAATTGTGTTTCAGATTGTAAGATATTGGTTATACGACTCAAAATTGTAATATATATGATATAATATAGCAATATACATGTTTATGTTGGATAAATAATGAAAATTAACATGAGACAAGTGAGAATTAATGTGACATGTGTCAATCCAATCCGAACCAATCAATTCGAATTCAGAACAGTAATGTTTCAGTAGTTGAAATAATGAGTCGATTGAAGCTAAACAACCAAGGAAAACGCGGGAGTATTGGACGGCCGTTTCTTCCCAGTATGTAAAGGTCGCATGCGAAACTGATAGATCCTGGGTTCGAATTTCGCGGGGAGAGGGACCGTGGATGCGCACTGCTGAGGAGTCTGATACTAGGACGAAACGGACGTCCAATGCCTCCAGGTTTTCCATGGTGGTCAAGCTTCAAATGAATCATGATTTCAACTATTGAAATTACTAAATTCTCCACGAAACCCCTTAGATCAAGCGATAATGTGAAGATTTGTTGATTCTGTCATGATATTTGTGGAAAGTGGGTCACAATTCTAGTGTAGGATAAACTTTAATCAGTGAATGCTTATTACAAAATTTTGTTAGTATAAACCATGTAGATTATGTTATATTTCAACATAAAGTTATATAATTTACTACCAAATCGATTCTAAAATATTTGAAATTCCAATAATATTATTAATGAGTCGTATACACCTTGTTTGTGTAAACCATTACTTTTGTAAACGTTCTGTGTTCTTCGCATAAGTTTGGTTTGGTAAAGCATTTTTAAAATATCTAGTTTCAGTGAAATGACATAAAGAGCGAATCAAGAACAAGTTGAAAGGTTGGTGAGACTGTTGCTTAGTTGAAAAATTCAGTCTTTTCTGGTTAAGAATTAAGTAAATCGTTTTCATACTGTTCGAAATAGATAAAGTACGAGTTCATGTGTACTATGAAGTACCGATTTGATAAATTTGTTATGGGAATCGTGACTCGCATATTCACCCCATTCGAAAATGATTGAGTCATTTACCAATGATGCTCAATATCGTAAGTTTATTTAATGTCGGAAATACACAACAGTGGATCTCAGCTTCGGTCGATGTGTATCGTGTTCTTCATATAGCTTAAAGATCCTATTTTAGACCTCGATTAATGTAGTGAGGCCAGTGTTATTAAGATTTTGTTGTTTAGAATGAAACAACCGTTTAATGTTTTTTTTAGTTTTCAATAGTATTTCAGTGGAAGTTTGTTTGAATTTTTCCCAGTAAGTCGAAGCTCTTACAGCTTTTATGTCTAATAGTAAAATGATACAACTTATTTCGATGATATCTCTTTGCATTGATGTGGAATTAATGGATTTTTAGACTTGTGATGTTAGTATAGGATATAAACTTTTAATTTCTTTGTAACAAATATACCAATGATCATATGATAAGTTGGAATATAGTTTGTTTTACTGATAGTGATAAATTTTTTTTCTCAAGAATAACATAGGTGACTTTACACGGTAAACAATTCTCATTAAAATCTTAAATTCATCTACCAGTTAATTTATATCAGAAGGATTTTTTGTGGATATTATAGTAATTTTAATGATTGAGTCAATTGAAGATAGACCACCATGGAAAACCTGCAAGCATTGGATGGCCATTTCGTCCTATTGTGGGACTCCTCAGAAGTGTGCATCCACGATCTCAACTCGCGAGACTTGAACCCAGAACCTATCAGTCTCACTCGCGAGCACTTAACCATTAGACCACTGTGCTGGCCAGCATCCATTAGTGTTAATGCCTAACTTCAACTAATCCACGAAATTGAACGACACATCCACCATTGTCTTCAGCGAGTTACTATCTCATAGCAGACCTGGTTGAACTCCACTATTTACTGCTTCTCACTAGAACTCCAGTTAGTTGTACGTTAATATACAGAGTGTATTACAATTAAATGTAATACGTCTTAAACATGTTTTTAATCAATACACATACAGTGTGTTGACAATGTTTCATGTTGTTTAGTAATCAACTACTAATTTTTGTCAAGGAATGATACCGATTGAGGAAGTAGATAAGACTTTTATTCGTATTTGAAACTCTTCCGTAGTGTGGATTCACTGAAGCCTTAAGAATCAAACGAATGTTTCTTAAACTTCACGATGAGTAGGTTAATTTACACCCAGTGATAACTGGAATAATGTAGTCCACATCTTCAACTTCAGTCAATTAGCATTGTAACTCGGCTACAGTCTATCATTATTTGTGGTAAATTACAGGTTTGTGACACAGGTCACAATATTTGATTAAGACTTCCAGGTATTAGTCGGTGTAATATTAAAGTTGTGGGCACGATTAATTTGCAATGCAACGCGTATACTTTCTAAAGACATCTCTGAACACTACCCAGAGTGACTTACAGAACAAAAATTCAATATAATCCAAGGCTTAATATTAGAACTTCTCGTTAATTCTGATAACGTTGTACCATCAAAATAACCTTTCAAAATCATCATACAGCATTTTAACAAGTTGGCTCACTAAAAGTATGAATCAAAACTTAAGAAATTCAAAGTGTTCAGCCATTCAGTAGTTCAAGTCTGAACCCTGTGTGCTAAAGGAGCATTGATAATTTCTCATTCTATTATGATATTAACATTAATTCTAGTTAATTATATTTTACTTTTCAACTCCCTCAGATGGATCCTCCATATCCATCAACACGATTAAAGCACCGGACATTCACTTTTCGTCCTCTCAATTTCGTAAATAAAACTACTGCCACGAGAAGGCAATGAGTAGGACTTCCCTGTCAATGGTTGTATGCACGTGACCATGTGAGAGCATTTAGAGAGTGATAGCTGCCTCACCCCACTCTCGAACGTACCAGGATATTTGGGGGCAGTACATGATTTAATCGAGAAAAATATTCTTCATTGATTTGTCTTTATTTCTTTTTTAAAGATACAGTTGGTATTTTTCTTTATATTATGATTTGGTCAAAATGCTTAATGAAATTGATCGATTGAATTTAATCTATAAAAGATTAGTGATTGTGAACTGGTGAGGAATTGAACATTGAAACGAAATACCTATCATCTAATCATTAGTATTTATTGGTGTTTCACTTGATTACATTCTATGATAAAACCATCTTCAACGCAAAAATGATGTTAAATTATCATTAGTGTAAAATTATTGTGTGTAAATAGAATAAATCTTATTCTCTGATGTAATAAGATCAATAATTTTGAATAATATCTGATAATGTTCATTGAATGTAAGTTGAAAATTTAACATTTCATGGAATCATTTAAATAAATTGCAACTTGAACCAGAGAAAATAATAAAATTCAACGAAGAAGTTCATTTTTTTCAAGGTTAAGTTTATTCATAACGTCTTCAATCTTTAATAAGTACATTGAATCTAACACTTTTGATCACATTTCGAGTTCTATATATTGATGTATAATGACATTGAAAAGTTCATTGAAAACGTCTAAAGTTATTTCCATTTAATTTCTTTGAATGAATCAGTGTAAAGCAGACCAATATTCTGTATGAAAAATGCAAATATAGTGAAATTTAAGACCAAAAGCGATACATGAATATACGACGTTCGCCTATTAAAGGAACTAAAAAAATCACCCTAATCGCCGGATACAACATTATCTAATTTATAACGAAAGCATTAAGAATAATTTCAGTTTTTCTATATCACATCGTTCTCATGTCATGAAGTCACAAGCATTTTAAACAGAGATGACTGGTGGTTAGCAGCTAGATCCGTACAAGTGGTTCATCTCATTTAAGACTCATTAGTTGGATGTACCTATACCACAGAGTTGACGTTCACTCTAAAAATCCAACCCAATACAATTCACTTCAAACATCATCGCACTATCCACTTAACAAACATAACTTTATTATTTATCACAAAGCTTAGGATATCTCGCGCGCGAAATTGTTAAGTCCTGGGTTCGAATGTCACGGCTTGCGAGAACATGGATGCCCACTTCTAAGGAATCCCACAATAGGACAAAACGGCCGTTCAGTGCTTCCAGATTTTCCATGGTGCTCTAGCTTCAACTGACTCATGATCTTAACTATTGAAATTACAAATATATATATTTGTTCTATTTTACGTTTGTAATCAGTATTCAGTTAGGTCAACAATGTCATATCATAATAAAGATCAACATTTTATACAGAATTTCATATTTCAGGTCAATATAATGAAATTTATCTGGAAACATTTTGGATCATATTTTTTTATTTTTATTTTACAAAGATAACTTATTGAACTTTACTCAGCCACTGAATTGTATTCATTAAACTGAATATTATCAACAAAATAAAAAAATGGTTCAACTTTCATATTACTCATCAATAGAAGATTGTTAAAATTATTGAACCGATCCCAGTTAATATGACTAGTTTCATTTTTTGTTTGTTTGTTTGTTTGTTTGTTGGTAGGTCAATAAAAATCAGAATCATAATGATTTATTCAAATGTACATCAATTGTTGTACTATATTAGATTGAATCTCAAACTTACAGAGCATATAAATAATACGATATATTTGATCTATTAAGTAGAGGTATAAAACCTACAACTTCAATCAGTCTAGGATATATCAATATTCTCGAGTATTATTATCAATAGATTTGATTAACTTCGAAGTTGTTAACTGATCTCTATTTTTCCAGTAGTTTCTTAGATGATCTTATTTAATAATGAAAATGTCTCTTTGTAGATAATCATTATATCTTGTTCAAATAACATGACAAAATTGATGACAGAGTGTTTTAATGTGAGTTTAATCATAACATACCATAAGGCTAAAATTAAAAAAAAAAAAAAACATGTTTGGCAGATTTCATCTATCATAAATATTCGTTAACAGTTGATTTATAGTAGAAT